CTTGGCCCACACTGAGTTTTGAACTGAAGGACACTGAAGATCTCAAAAGCAGTCTCAGCACCAAGGTCTCTGCCTTTCTCTTGTCTCTGGTCTCTCTCTCTCTCTCTCTCTCTCTCTCTTTCTCTCTCTCTCTCTCTTTTTCTTTTTCCCTTTTTAACATTTTTTCAGTTGTAGAAAAATACCTTTATTTTATTTATTTATTTATAAATTTATTTATTTTCATGTGGTGCTGAGGATTGAACCCAGCGCCCCATACAGTGCTTTGCCACTAAGCCACAATCCCAGCCCTCTCTCTTTCTCCCTCCAAAAGCAGAGAGGGGCTTTTTTTAAAGTTCCCTTATCTGCCTAAAGGTAGATTCTCCCAGAATGAATTCATTTGTCATGAATCCTCTTCCTGGAATCTCATCAACTAGAGAAGATTAGCTGCTTCACAGAAGACACTGAAGGCAGATAGAAGACATGCAAACTATTACCTATTCTCTCCAAGTCTGCTCCATGGCTACTTTTATTAACCTGAGAGGCTATCTGCATAACAAGACAAACATTCTTCACTAAACATTTCCTCCCATCACCCTCCTATTAACCCTAAGTCCTCTTCCTTTCTGTACCTCTGGATGCTATGTAAACTTCAATCATGTGGCTCTTTTGAGTCTCATGTTTTGTGGGATTCCCATGCATATGTGTGTAATTAAAATTATATTTTCTCTTGTAAATCTGTCTGCTGTCGATTTATTTCTGCTGTCGATTTTTTCTCTTCCCCCAGCACCTTGTAGGATCAGATGACTAGGAACATTTAAATTATATGAAGAAGCAAGGAAGATAGTTATCAAAGGATCTCCTGTTAAAGATTAAAGATGGTTTCAGGGACTGGGGTTATAGCTCAGTGGTAGAGCACTTGCCTCGCAGGTGTGAAACCTTGGATCAATCCTATCAATCCTCCCACATAAAAATAAACAAACAAATAAATATAGATATTGTATCCATCTACAACTAAAAAAATTTTTTAAAAAAAGATGGTTTCAGGCTTTTCAAAATGACAAAGAAACTGCTATTTGTCTTTGTGTTGGCTCCTGGAGAACTGTGTTGCAGGAAGATGGTTCAATTCTCAGGCTGAAGATCTTGCCAAGTCCCTGCTAGGATTACCTACTATTCCAGAAACTCAGGAAGTGTCCTGAATTTAGGATGCAATTAAAACTCATTGATTTTAGTTACTACCAGCTCAAATTTTTCTTTTTCTAATGGTACTGGAGATTGAACCCGGGGGTGCTCTACCATTGAGTTACATGCCAGCCCTTTCTATTTTTTATTTTGAGACAGGGTCTTACTAAGTTGCTGAGGCTGGCCTCCAATTTCCAATCTTCCTGCCTCAGTCTCCTGAGTCACTGGAATTACAGATGTGTACCACTGCACCTGGCACTAGCTCATTTTTAATGATGAATTTGGGTTCACGTTCACATCTATTTAGCAAATATTCCCCTGTGCTACATTTCAGAAAAAAATATTTAAAATGCTTAGGAGAACAATTTGCCTTTCAGCACCTTGAAACACAATAGCCATCTACATTTGCATAAAGCAATTTTATCTTTTTTTTTTTTTTTGTACTGACGATTGAACTCATGGATGCTTAACCACGGAGGCACATCCCCAGAGCTTTTAATATTTTATATTGAGACAGGGTCTCACTAAGTTACTTAGGGCTTTGCTAAGTTGCTGAGGCTGACTTGGAACTTATGACCTCTTCTGCCTTGTCTTCCCAAATTGCTGGAATTACAGGTATGTGTCACCACACCTGGCCTCAATGTCTTCTTTACTCACTATACCATCACCTCAGGATGAATTTTGGCTGAGCTTGGACGAACTGGGTAACTGAGATTAATAAATTTTATAATTCAGACCTTTACTACCTTCTTCCTCTAGCAGTTGGGATGAAATGAAGAGTAAAAAAAGTATATGGCACTACAGAAGTAATTCAAAACTATTTGTAGATTCAATAAACCAAGAATTCATTTCTTTTCCATTTTACAAGATGGATGAAGAGAAACCCTCATTATTTAGCAAGATCTGAGGAGCACATATTTTTATTTCAAGTTGACTGTTTATTACTTTGTACTCTGGTAGCCAGGGTCTTGGCTCCTGTATTGTTCTTGACCACAGGCTCAACCATCATCCATGATGCTCTTAGGGTTTTAGGAAGAATGAAGGTTGTGCCCCACCTGTATATTTGCTCAATGACCCCATGTACTGAGAGTTTATAAGGGCTGAACATTCTTGTAGGCATTAAGGATATGATAACAAAACAATTAATTGCTGCCCACACAAAACTTTGGAGCACTCATTAGTCTCTCTCTCTCTCTCTCTGTGTGTGTATGTGTGTGTAGATGGATGATAAGCCAAATAAAGCATAAAATCATAGAATGTTATGAGGAGATAAGTGCTATGCAAAAAAAAAAAAAAATCAAGCAGAGAAAAGGGAACAGAGGTTGTTCTGTATATGCTAATTATGGTTTTATGGGAAGATATTGCTTTGTATCAGAGACCAAACCACATTCTTCAATAAATTATACTCACTTTGAGAATAATGGTATAGTCACAAATGACTGATGCCTTAAAAAGCTTTAGGAGATATTCCTGCTCCCACGTCTCTCTTTTCTTTCTCTTTCTTATGCTTTTTCATTGTTGTTTCTTTTTTGTGTGTGCATGGTACTGTGGATTGAACATAGAGGTACTCTACTACTAAGCCACCTCACCAGCTATTTTTATTTTGAGACAGGGTCTTGCTAAATTGTCCAGGCTGGCTTGAACTTGTGATCCTCTTACCTTAGTCTGCTGAGTAGCTGAGATAACAAGCATGCACCACCATGCCTGCACCATCATTTCTTTTTCTTTAAGGTTGTTCATCTTCCTTCCTTCCTTCCTTCCTTCCTTCCTTCCTTCATTACGGGGGATTGAACTCAGGAGCACTAAACCACTGAGCCACATCCCCAGCTCCTTTTTAAATATTTTACTTAGAGGATCTTCCTGAGATGTTTAGGGCCTTGCTAAATTGCTGAGGCTGGTTTTGAACTCACAATCCTTCTGCCTCAATCTCCTGAGCTGCTGGGATTACAGGCATGTGACATCATGTCCAGCTGTTCCACTTTATTTAGCAAGGCATTAAAATGGTATGATAGAAAGTTCTACTTGATAGAAACTAAAACCTGTTATTTCTGTGAGCATTAGCTTCTTTGTCAGTAAAATGGGGATGCAACTTCGTCTTAGTCCATTTTGTGTTGGTATTACATAATAACACAGACTGGGTAATTTATAAAGAAATTTATTCTTTCACATTTCTAGAGGCTGGGAAGTTTAAGGTCGAAGGGCTATATCTGATGAGAGTCTTCTTCCTGTGGCTTCCCGTTTCTGAAAGCAGAAGGGCAGAAGAGCATGTATGAGAGAGAAACAGAATTTGCAGCCTCAAGCCCTTTTATAATCATCACTAATCCACCCTTGAAGTTGGAGCCCTTGTGAGCTAAACACCTTTCCTTAGGCTCCACCTCTCAACATGGTTGCATTTGGGATTAAGTTTCCAAAATATGCTTTCTGGAGACACATTCAAACCAGAGCAAACATATTTTGTGGTATTGTGAGGATTAGAGATGAAACATGCTTGCAAAATGTCACAGTCCCTAATTGTAGGCCTTTAAATATACCTTTAAATGGTAGCTAGTACTAATAGAAGCATAACTACTTTTTGTATAGTTATTGAACAATATATGACAGCCTAACTGTAAGTCTCTGGGAAATTTAGAACAAAAGAGATCTAGGACCCAAACCAGCAATGGGCCATCCAATAAACTTAGTTAACTATTGATGACAAAGGGCTTTACTAATTATCTTGTTAGAGATGGACATGATGTGAGGTCCAGATCCTCTGGTATGCATATTTGTTTCCTTCCGTAACTGGATTCAGCTCTTCTCAACTAAAACTTTTATTATCTTTATTTAACTAAAAAAGAAGAGAACTCTGTTAACAATGACAATAATAAGCATGCTATGTGGCAAGCACATTCATGATAGATAGTCACTTAATTCTTCAATGATGCTGTGTGGAAGTTTCCTTGATCATCTCCAGGTACAGATATGGATAACTTGAGAGGTGCCCTATGGGGAGGACTCAAGAGTGCGGGAGCTGTAGTGTTGCACTTGAGCAGGGAAAACGCATGAAGATACCTGGCTAAGTGTACCCTTCCTTCACAGACACAGAGTTGGAGTTTATGCCTACAGTACAGACAGAAAAAAAATTTGCAGGAGTCGTGAAGACCCATAAGTTCCTTGAAAGGGAAGGGGAGGGGGCTCCGCTTTCCGCCTTCCTGTAAAACATGTGGTCAGAACCAGGGGAGGTAGTGACCCCCACCCCACTTCCGAATGTCAGGGGAGCTTCCGACCCGAAAAACTAGTTAGACTCTAGGCCTCGGTCAATTAAGTTTTTACAAAGAGGGGCGGGGCCTGGGGGGGGCGGTGTGCGTGTGTGTGTGTGTGCGTGGGGGGGTGTTGGGGGGGTGCGGATCCCTGCGAGCCTCCGATTGGCTAAGACAAATGTCCATCTGTCTCACCCCCGCCCCACCTCCGGGTGGCCTCCCGGCGGGCCCGCGGGCGCGCAGAGCCGGCTGGCGGTGCCAAACTGGCAGGGGGCGTGCCGCGGGGGCGTGCCGGGGCGTCCCGGGCGCCGAGCGCGTCACTGCCTCCGGCCCCGCCCCCAGCCCTACGCGCTACCTCCTCCTCCTCGCTCCGTCCTGCGCTCGCTCAGTTCTAGCTCCACGTTCCGCGCCGTGGCCTCACTCCCCTGCCCTAGCCACCCCGCGGCCGCCGCGCGGATACACGCGCCTTGCGGCTTCCTAGCCCAGCGCCCGGCTCTCCCGGAGCGCGCCTCGCGCACGGACGCACGTTCGTTCCCTCTCGCGCGCCGGGGATTCGGCAGCGGCTGCGGCTGGCGGACCGCGCGGGGCAGCACTGTAGCGGCCGCCGCGGGCTGGCGGGCCGGCCATGGAGGCGGATGGGGCCGGCGAACAGATGAGACCGCTACTCACCCGGGTAACAAGCAGGGTGAGGGCGCCGCGGGCGGCGGGGCTCCCCGGCGGGGGCGGGGTGCTGAGCGAGGCAGACAAAGGCGGGGGTGCGGCAAGCGTCGCGGTACGGCCACTTGGTCCCGGGCCCCTCCGACTCCCGGCGGCTGGCGCGCCTCGCCATCCCCTTTGTGTGGCCGCCCGGGGCGCGGGTGCGAGGGGGCGGGCGGCGGCGCCTGGGAGGCCCAGTCGGGGCGGCGGGCTGCGCGCCACGGGCATCCTCGCTAAGGGCATCTTACGCCCGGTTCCAGCGAGACCCAGCCACCCGCGGGGCCCGCGGTGACCGCGACCACTCCATCCTTTCTCTCCGCACGCTCATCTCCCCTATTTTCCGGTGTTCTCTCTAGTCGGGGTCGCGGTTCAGGTTGCTTTGGCGCTGGAGTTCAGATTAGCCCCTGGAAAACCCATCTTTTCCTAAGGAGGACCCCGACTTCACCTGTCTCTTGTCCCAGGCAGTGGGAAGAACTGGTGTGAATCTTTCCTCCTTTTTCTGAGCTTCCCCACCCGGTCCATGGTGTGCTTTGTTCGGTGAGTTCTCTGGCCGCGTGGACAAGTCGTCTTCCTTCGCGGCCAAGGCTTCTTTTCCCTGTTGACTGCCAGGTCTGCCTCCTCCTTTTCTGGCAAGAATTGGAGGAGTATCCTCCTGTCGCAGGCCAAGTAGAAAGAGAAGGGTGACAGTGTTCCGAGCCCCTTGTGCTGCTCCGCTTCATGAGCCTGGGAAAATCGCGTGTCCCAGTGAGGCTGGCTTTGAATTTAGGGTTGGGGGGAGTGGGGGCGAATTTCCAAAAGGTTATACCTCTCATTGGGATGATGGACGAGTGGCCCATCCTCAAGAAAGAGACTCACTTCCTGCTTTTAAGTGGAGCACATGTGCCCCCACAGTTGTGATTCTTTTCTCTTCCTAGTTAGTGACTCAAGGGACATGTTAGAAATTTTCCTGCTTCCAATTACTTTGACCAGCCAAGGAGAGAAAGTTGCACGAAAAATTTTCCAGTCTTTCACAACTAACAGGAAAATCGCTTTTCACGTGTTTTTATTTGAGTTTTCCTTAAACCTGTTTCCTCCCTCCTTTAATTTTAAGATTATTGTCAAGGCCTGGGGAAGGAGTCATTCGTTATTTCAGAATGTTCATATTTCTAAATGTAGCGGAAAACTGTTTCCAGACAGGGAAGTCATATAGCAGTGGTTGTTGGGAAGATCCTTCCCGTTGATAGTAATGGAAAAGTGGAAGCTCCTATGGAATTTGCTGTAATTCTTTCTGTAGTCTTTGAATAAACTGTTGTATAGCACCTGTTCTAAAGGTGTGTATCAAATACAGTATTGCATGTTCTTAGCCTTATTATTTGCATCTGAGTTTTTATAAAACTGGACAGAAATTGATGTGTTCTCACATATTACCTGCTTAGCAGAAGCAGCATGTAAGACCGTTGCCCTCCAAATCATTCATTCATTCAATGTAAAGCAGTTATTTAGGACCTATTCTGTAGTGTCCAACAAAACAGAACCAGCTTCTTCTCTCTCATAGAAGTTATATTCAAGGGAGGTGTGTGTGTGTATGTGTGGTTTGTGTATGCAGCAAATGGCAAATGAATTCTCAATAGCTGTTGATGTTGTGGCAGGGAGGAGAGTTGGAAGATGTACCTCTTAAATCTTGTGGAAAGTAAGACTTGGCTATAGTGATCTATACAAATCAATAATGGAACTCAAATATAGCAAGCTATCAGCCTAAAAATGGAACAGAGGAACAAGAAATAGTATGATTTGAAAACTGGAGAGGAATATTGGTATGCTGGCACACAATCAATAATCCAAGCAACTAGAAAGGCTGAGGCAGGAGGATCCCAAGTTCAAGGACATCCTTGGCAACTTAGCAAGATCCTGGCTACTTATAAAAAAGGACTGGTTAAGTAGCTCAATGGTAAAGTGCTCCTGGTTTCTATCCCCAGTACCAACAAACAAACAAAACAAAACCACAACTTTAATCTTTCCTTACTCATTTTTTCCTGGTAAATGAAAGTCATTAGTGAGATTATGATATTTGTCAGTCATAACTTAACTCATAGACTGCTTAGCATAGCTAAAAAATAGGAATAAATTTATATTAATAAAAAGTCATCTTTGTAATTATGCAAATAATTTGAATAAATTGATGGCAGTTTATATTACTCAAAGTGGAGCCCATCTGTTCCATAATTTAGGCTCTAAGGTTTCTTCTGCATTCTTTGGTTTCACTCATGGCAATGGGGAAGAAAGGCATTTATCTTACAAACATGCAAGTTTTGTTTGCTTTGGTAGAAAACTCATCATTGTAGCTGTCACAATTGATGTCAGTCTTATTTTCTAGTACAGGTTAAATTCTGTTATAATAGATAACTATTTAAAAGATTGCTAAGTTTTAGCAAATAATCTTTTAAGGTGTACATGATTTAATGTAATTCTGTTACCACTGAAATTTTGGGACTGTACCATGGAATTTGTTGTTATTTCTTTCATTTTGTGGATATTAAGTATCTCATGGGTGCCAGATGCTAGGGAAATAAACAAGATAGGAAAGGTCCTTCCTTCAATGAATTTATTTTGGCATTTGGAGTGAACACAGTGATAGCATTTACATGTCATTTATAAGTACCAGTTAAAACATTTCTTGAGTTTATTAGAAATACTTAAAGTCGTTAGAATAGATGAAAGATATTAACTCAGTTTGGATTTATTGGTGATGGCTAAAATGAAAGGTTTATGTGTACCTGCAAGTAAGCATTTTCTTTGGGATACTGGTTGATAGCTCTAGAGACATGGCACCCCAGGCATTACCATTATAGTTATTACCTTTTTGCATTATTCTTGGTATCTTTGGGCCACAGTTCATGGAGTTGTAGGAAAGGGAGAGACAACAAATCTGTCATCTCTCCAAATGAAACTGCAGAACAGTTAAGTTGGATTGAAGAATTGTTTTGTCAGGTAATTGGAACTGGGAGTTAGACAGGTTTTCTTTCAAGAGAGCTTAGGGTGTATTTTAGTTTTGTTACACTAAACTCCTGTTAGTTGAGTAGGTTAAAATTGAAAGCCAAAATAACCTGGCACTGGAGGAAACTGGTATATTATTTTAGTGGTATGTGGTGTGCTAACCAATATATTCTAAAACCTTGGTAGTTATACTTGTCAACATCCGGTAAAGGGTTGTTTTTCTTCCTCTTTCCCTCCCCTTTCTTATTGTGTCTTACCACAAATATCTTAAAGTAGATCAGATCTGCAGCTGACAAAATGGGTCATTTTTATAAAGGAGCATTCAGGTGTTTCATGAGGGGAATGTTACAGGTTAGTCATGGATCAATGTCATTTTGATTGTGATTTTTTTTTTTTTTTTGATATTGGGGATTGAACCCAGAGATGCTTAACCACTGAGCCACATCCCCAGTCCTTTATACATTTTATTTTGAGCCAGAGGCTAGCTAAGTTGCTTAGGGCCTCCCTGAGTTGCTGAGGCTGGCTTTGAACTTGTGATCCAGCGGCCTCAGCCTCCCAAGCCACTGGAGTTACAGGCATGCACCACCATACCAAGCATCATTTTGACTTATATTGTAGTTTCCTCTTGGTGATTATGGTTGCTTCAGCAGTTCCTATTTTTTTTTGTTCATGCACTATTTTCAGTTTTGTGATGAGCATGTATGATAATAAAGTCATTCCACCGTTCTAGTTTACATGGAGATTTGCCTCCTTTTTTTTTTTTTTGCACATTTTGTTGAGTTTTTACAATTTGAGAACATTGAGGATTACTTGTAATTATGCATGTGGTAAACCACCAAGGAGCCTATGGTTGACATTGTGTTACAGGTCTAGTAGTGTTGCCTTTAACATTCTTCTGGAAGGCAGAGGGCTAGCTGATGAGGATAGAGCCATGTTGACTGAATTAATGATTCTTTTCTTCCATGGACTACATATCTTCAAATGACTGCTATGAGAGTGGCCAAGTACTTCCTTCAGTACTTGAGAGTAGGAAAATGATGTGGTTATGATACAGATTTGTGTTTTTTTTTTTTGTATTGGGGTTTGACCCATAGGTGCTCTACCACTGAGCCACATACCCAGCCTTTTTTGTTGTTGTTGTTGTTAACGTTTTATTTTGTGACAGAGTTTGGCTAAATTGCTGCGGCTGGACTTGAACTTGTAATCCTCCTGCCTCAAACTCCCAAATTGCTGGGATTACAGGCGTGTGTTACCATGTCCGGCAAGATTTGTATTCTATCATGCATATTTTAAATTTAATTTTGAGACAGGGTCTCACTGAATTGCCCAGTCTGGCCTACAACTTGAGATCCTCCTGCTTGAGTTTTTACAATTTGAGAACATTGTAAAATCAGTGAGACCCTGTCTCAACCCACCCTATTTGCTATGAGTGGGTGGAGCTTGGTTAGGTGGAGGGAGAAAGTTGTGTCAGGAAGTGCAGAAAAGGAGAGGTGAATTGGAGAGTATGAATTCTATGGATGCCTTCTTTAGGCAGTGCAAGGTAGCATGAAGCTTGATGAGAGGAGCCTGGGTTGAGTTTCAGCTCTCACTGGCCTTCCTCTTTTACTATTGTCAAGACCAGATGTGAGTTGTAATCATGCCTGGGATTTCTTTGATTTACATTTAAAACTCCCAGTTTTTTGTTTTTTTTTTCCTTATTGCGTCTGGGCATTCATATTGCCACCTTCAATTCAATTTTGTTGTTCTGTGCTGGGGATTGAAAAGTTTTAATTTTATTTTACAGTGCTGGGGATTGAACTGAGATCCTTGCACATGCTAGGCAAGCATTGAGTTACATCTCCAGCCCTTTTTGTTTTATTTTGAGACAGGATCTTGCTAAGTTGCTAAGGCTAGCCTTGAACTTGTGACCTCCTGCCGTATCCTCCCTAGTAACAGGATTAAGTAGTACACCAACATGCAGGGCTGCCACATTAAAATTTGTAGCAGTATTTTTTAGGGGGTAGG